TGAGTCTTAACCTTTAAGACTGAAAGCTAGCTTTCCAGCTCCCACCATCCATTTTCTCTCTCTCCCAGCCTCACTTCCTGTGTCTTCATTAAAACCATTGACAGAAATGTCACAGAGCCCAAAGGACAGGGACTATAGGCCTCCACCTTGCTGATTGTTGTCCTCAGTGAGGCGTGGGGGGTGGGGTCTGCCACGTCCATGGCATCCATGGTATGAGGCTTGTAACCCTCTGAGGGTCCTGATGGTAACCACTTCATAGATGAGGAAGCGGGGTTCGGTTTTGAAGGAAACCATGAGTGTTTGCAATCTTTATTTACAAATACCGAAAAATAAAAGCAGTTTGAGGATAATACTTGTTTTCTTCCCGAGGATCAAAATAAGCCGAAGTGTGTCAGGGGGTCTTACTCTGACATGTGTCAGGCTTTCTTTTCCTGGGAAAATTAGGCCTCGGACACAGTTCTTAGGATTATCTGGCTCCATGAAGCTTTTCAGGCTCCTGTTCCTGCTTCCCGGTAGCACCACTGAATCTCTGGGACCTCCCCACCCCAGCTCTTTGAATCTCTTTTCCTGGGCTCCCTGAAGCCCCTCAACTGAGACTCCCATCCCCTCAAGGCTTCCCTTCTCCAAGGGGCGATTAGAGAGAGGTGACATGTTTCAGGACATTTCTTATTCTCCAGAACCCTGTTATCTCCTAGGAATATACATACTGGAATGTTCTAGAATTGTGTCCATCATCAATATCAAACTGACTGGCTCACATTTGCCTTGTATTCTCTTTTTATGAAAAAGAGATGTTTTTCTTGCTTCCGGGTTTGGGTTCAATCCTATTCTCTGCCACGACGTGACTGTGTGTTATAGGTTGATCGGCTAAACGCTTCCACATGCTCTGACTGTCTTTATGTACCATGGCTGCTTGTAGTCACCGTCACCTCCCCTCAAGCATCTATGGATCAGAGAAATCAAATTACTCCTTCAAGGTTAGACAGGTAACAAGTGGCCACCTGGGAGTGGACCCAGGTCTACTGCGGCTGAGTGCTGTGTTGCCAGTCATCATGGGGCTAGAGGGATATATTCTTGGGAGAAGGGCACTTCTTAGGGATTCTTGCTAGGGTTCTCCCCTGGACGCTGGCTTTAGTTCTCCCATGGCTGACTTCACATGCCCTAGCTAAACAACCACCCACCTTGAGAAAGTAAGAGGGTGAGAGCAGGGGAGGCAGGAATGGTGGCTGTCTGTCTTTCACTGAACATCAACTGTGTACCTATAACAGAACAAGGTAGCTGCTTTGATGTTCTTTTTCACTTAAAAATTTACACCCATCCAATAAAGAGGAAGAAAAAACAAACAAACAAAAAAAAACAAAAACAAAAAAACAAAAAACAAACAAACAAACAAAAAAAAAACCAACCAGCAACAACCCAGAGGTTGGGTTGACCTACCCAGACCATGGCTGCTAAGGACCACACTTGGGGTTCTGTTCTAGCTGTGTCTAATCCCAAAGTCTAGATAAAACATTCAGTTTAGGAGTAGATGAGTGAGATATGTAACAGTTCAAGCTCTTAGGGACAGTAGTGCTGCTATGTCCTCTGTATTGAAACTGTCACTAAACTTACAAGTCTCAGGATGCTCAGAAGTTACAAGACTCAGGAAGAGCCTCCCTAAGGCTGCATAAGGTCTCTGAAGAAGAAGCTTTTGTGAGTCATCACCCACACTGGGTGGTCTTCCTGGTGACAGAGCTGGCTTTCTGTCACCCACACTTCTGCGAGAAAGTCCCCCTCTATGCTTCTGTGAGTAATCCCAATAAATTCATTGCTTCACTATGCTAGACTTGGGTGGAGTAATTGTTTGGTTTGACATCAATGCCCTCTGTGGAATGAGTGAATATTTGCTCATGCCTCCCCAGGGGAAAAAAAAATCACACAACAGGAATTCCTTCAAATATCTAGAGGCTTTCATGGCAATTATTTGAAAGAACAAACGAATAAGGTAGACAGAGTTCCTACTTGCTAAAAGGAAACTCATTTACATGAAAAGCCATCTTCAGTTAGAAGTTTACTAGGCTCATTTTCAGAAACGCCTCTAATTAACCTTTTCAGACATTCCAAGCTATCGGCAACAAAGCGGGGTACAACAGGTGGCACACTCAACTTCAGACATCTCACTTTTGGACTGTGGTAGGTTGGTATTTTGGGGGTGTACCCTGTCCACACCACCAGAATGCTAAGAAGCCAAAATTGAAACAGGGGCCAGCAGACATCTGGCTCCTCACAAGTGATAGCCAGGGTTGGGAGGAGAAACCACGCGTCCTGGCCGGGCTCCAATCCAAATGTGTATTTTGAACATGTTCTCTGCTTTGCCACACATGACTCTAGGTTTTTCCCTCCTTCATAATATTACAGATTAGCCATGCACCTAAGACTAACTCCTCATCTGAAACTCCTATGGCCAATTGTGCTGTGGAATTCAGATACATTGTAAATGTGGAACAGCCCTAGAAAGGTCCAGGGTAGGGCTCCTGACTGGGTCTTATTTGTATTCTGCAGCAAGCATGCGAATCTTTACAATAAGTAGGATCCAAAAAGAACTTTATGTGGTCCCATGGAGGTTCAGGTTGGAATTTGCTTCCAGGTGAGCTATAATGGGTCAAGGTCACATGGTCAATTAACTTGCCCCAATTCCCCCAAAAGATTCAGTTTTTGGAATTTTGTGGGTGTCAAAATTTATATAAAGGATTTTAATTCCATATGAACATTTCTTTGGCTGCCCTGCTGGTGGTGAAATCTACGATGGATCTAACACCAAGTTCTTGATGGGGAATGCATTTAAATGTTTTCTCCATAGGGAAATAAAATCCACCGCATGGAGAAACCATTTGGACATTGCCGTTTCTGGGATCCAGTGTGGCTAACACGGAGGACAATGAGAATTATTCAAGACCACGGCTGTGGAGTCTGTGGTTGCTGGAACAACACAAGGCAGTTATGCTCAGGGCTCAGTACTTACAGTGCTGGGGAGAGCTGGATCCAAGCCAGGAGACTTCGTAGCAATGACAGCTGAAAGAAAACAGCCTTCTGGTTATTTATCTAGAAAACTGGGCACAGAACACTGTACTTATTAGTAATACTGGACAATAGATCATTTTTCTATGCTACTATTGAATGGGGTTTGTTTTAGTAGTACATATCATTTTCTTAAATTTCCATGGTGCTTTGAATGAGAATAGCCCCAAAGGTTCATATGTTGTAATGCTTGGTCCCCAGTTGGTGGAACTGTTTAGGGTGGATTAGGAGGCGTGGCCTTGCTGGAGAAAGTATGTCGCTGGAGGTGGTGTATGATATTTCAAAAGACTGTGCTGTTCCCAGTGAGTTCTCTCTGCTTCCTGTTTGTGATGTGAGTTCTCAGCTGTTCCATGGTGTTACTCTGCCATCATGGACTCTAGCCCCCTGGAACCCTGATCCAATTAAACATTTTCTTTTATAAATTGCCTTGGTCATGGCATCTTATTACAGTAATAGGAAAGTAACAAAGGCAGTGTCCTTGGTCAGTAGCCGTCTTTAAATGTCCAACAAGCAAAGCAAGCCCAGGCAACTCTCTCGTACACCCATCCCTGTCAACATTCCATGCTCCAAGTGGTAGAATCAATGCCCAGACATTGCAGAGAATTCACGAGAATGCCACTGCATAATTTAAGGTTCTTAGGGAAGCAGAATATTCAACATTTGCCAGCCATCCCGGGAACTATCGGAGTTAGATAAATGCCATTCTTTTCAGTGATGACATACTTTGCAAAGATGGGTTTTGGCAGTTGCTGAGATTTAAAAAAAAAAAAAAGCAAGCATCATGGAAAAGTCACTACGGAAGGATGGCTCAATGGTTAAGAACCCTTACTGCTCTTTCAGAGGACAAAAGTTCAGTTCCCAGCACCCACATTGAGCGACTCACAGCCACCTGTCACTCCATCCCCGGGGGATCTGGTGTCCTTTTCTGGCCTTCTTGGGTACCTAGACACACACATAGAAAACACCCTTCAAATGCATGCACATCAACAGAAATAAAAATAAATCTTAAAAAAAATTTAGTATGCCCAGAGTGGTGAACGACTTTAATACTGTTACTTGGGATGCAGGGAGAGGTGGATCTCTGTGAGCTTGAGGCCAACTGGTCTCACATAATGAGATTCCTTGGGTGTAAATACTATGTGCGTTTGTGTATATTCACATGTGTGTGAGTACACATGTGTGTGAGCATGTACACACATGTGATGTGTGTGTAGAGGCCAGAGGGTAATCTTAGGTGCCATTCAGGTGCCATCTGTCAATCTTGTTTTTGAGGTGGAGTCTCTCACTGGCCTGGAACTGACCAAGTAAGTTAGGCTAGGTGCCCATTGAACCCCATGGGCCTGCCTGTGCCTACCTCTCCCAACCCTGGGATTATAAGTACATGCCATCATGACCAGATTTGATTTGATTTTTTTCAATGTGGCTTCTGAGTGTTGAACTCTCTAGCCTTAGTACTTGCCTTCCAAGCATGCTACCGACTGAGCCAGCCCCCTGGATATAGCTGCTTAAGAAACAGAACTTTAGAGGTTCTCTGTTGTGAGAGGCAGCTGTAAAAATTTCACTGAGATGGAATCTCAGAATTCACTGTGTGTGTGCTCAGATGGGGAAATGTGATAACTCTTGATTGTCCTTTTGTCCTTCCAAACCGCTCAGTATGTCCTTCTCACCTGTCTCCTCCAAAACACCCAGGATCTTCCACCACCACCACCTCCATCACCTCCACCACTACCACCTCCACTACCTCCACCACCACCACTACCACCTCCACCATCACCACCTCCACCACCACTACCCCACCACCACACCATCACCACCACTACCACCTTCACCTCCACCACCTCCAACCACCACTAACTCCACCATCACCTCCACCTCCTCCTCCTCCTGCACCTCCAACACTACTACCTCCACTACCTCCACCACCACCACCTCCCCCATCACCACCACCACTACCCCACCACCACCCCACCATCACTACCACCACCACCTCCACCATCACCTCCACCACTACCACAACTACCACCACCACCCTCACCACCCACCACCACCACCACCACCATCACCACCCCACCACCACCATGACATGATCACCCGCACCATCCAATACACTTTTCTACACTGGTCTCTCTGCTTCGACTCTTGCACACTCCACAAGTCAGAGGTGGACTTTAAAAACAGAAGTTAGGTCCTGCTGCTCCTTGCCTCAAGTCTCCCCCATGTCTTCCACTTCCAAGGCTGGCCAAGGGTGGTCTTGTTCCTTGGTACCTACTTTCCTGGGAGCCTTTCTCCCCTGCGGCAGTCTGTTTCCACCCCAGGTGTGTGCAAGTCCTCCCTGTCTGGAGAAGTTTGTGTCTCCTTAAAGATTTCCACATGCTTGCTTCAGCGCAGATGTATCTTCCCAGGGAGGCTGCCCCTCAGCAGTTCATTCGAAGCCGGTCATCTCCTGGTCCCTGCACATCTCGTCATGTTTAATTTTCTTCGAAACACACGTCACTCTTGAAAGTGTCATGTTTGCGGGCCCATGCAGTCAGGACTAGCAACCTTGCTTTCTTGTTCCCATTGTTATTTTTCATCACTTAAACAGGGCCCGGAGTGTGACAAGAACTTCTCAGAAAGAGTAAGGGAGGAGTGATCTCGGAGGGTTGTTGTTTGGGTCACTTGCTGGGTGGCGGCGGGGGTAGGTTGGAGTGGTGGGGGAGAACCCCAAGGTGCACCTGGAAGGAGGGAGCCAGTGATCGCAACTCGGCTGATGTGTACACATACACATTTATAAACAGAAGATCATTTAGTCAAGGGCAAGGTTTCATATGTATATATCTAGCAAGGCTCCGCAGCTAGTTACCACGTATGAATCCCATGTTCCCAAGCACTATTGATGTTTCATCATAAGCAATTATATTAAATTGCCTACTTACTAAAGCAGCTTTATCTTATTATTTGCTATTCTTCATGCCAGGCAAGCTCTTTGTCTTTCCTTCCCCTCCCCCTTCTTTCTCTCTTTATTTAAAGAAACTGAGACAAAGACTTAAAAAGGAACCTTTTGTTCCTGCGGCATTAAACCAAAACAAGACCGCCGCCGCTGCCCAGCCTCGGCTTGCTGACCATGTGCTTTTTCAGCGGTGAATCCGGGAAGGGCGCATGGCAGAGCGGTGATAGGAACAGGTGCAGAATTATTCAACATCTCTGGGCGACAGCAGTGGGGATTAAACAGGGCTTTCTTTAATAAGATTAATTCCGAAATATGAAGCGCAGTTTGGCATATCCCCAAAGATACAAGGCATTTGTATCTATATAAGATTAAAGGAGCTTTCACATAAAGCAATTTTCTTTTTCAACATCAAAGAGCTGCTTCCAAGAGGCCGCTTGAAGGAGGCGCGCGGCGACCGGCACGGTGATGCGCACAGCTTTATGGGAAGGCAGTTTGCTCGGCTAGCAATTGTATCTGTGCCTTTCCCTCACCGGGACATGCGGGCGCATTGTTCCCCGGATCACAGGATTACAGAATAAGGGAAGCCATGGGTCAGGAATCAAGTCCACAAACACCCCAGACAGGTGGCTCCCTGGTGATAAAACATTGCATTTCCAGAGACAGAGGCTCAGTACCCCGGGAGGGAGGTGGTTCTAACAAACAATAAATAATGACCCTGAAGCTGGGAATAACAGTGACAGCGAAGATCACAGCCACCATCTATGTGTCAAGACTCTGCACTTAGCGAATAATAAATAGCCCAGCCGGCTACCTCTAACTGTCCCTTGGGTCTGCAGCCCGCAGCGGGCCCTGGGTCCACTCCACGGCCACACACAGCACCAATGCTCTGCTCTGAGCTGCAGATACGTGGAGTAGCTTTTATTTGCTCCCTCTGTTCTTTTTGTCGTCCTGACCTACACTCACGTTTGCCTTTTGATCCCAACACAGGTATTTACAGGAACTGGCCTCTCCCTGCAGCTGGCTGGGGTTGCCTCACCCACCCAACCTGCTCAAAACCTTGTTAATCAGTCCCGACATAAGTCGCCCCTGAAAATGATGAGCTGCCAGGTTCCCTCCTAGCCTCCCCACGCACCCCCTCCCCCAACCCCCATCTTATTTTCCTCTTTCTTTCTTCAGACGTTTCTTGCAGGTGTTTCCCACGCCAGACACTGTGTTGGCGGCTGGGACTCTACAATGACCAAAAGCACACCTGCTGGTGAACGCCGAGAAAGCCATTTGCTTACGAAGCTTATTATGTTTATTAAGTATAAATTAAAATACAGCATAGCGCAATTCTAAAATGAATGAAAAAAAAAAAGAATTCTGCCATGAGCTGAAATCATAATATTTGCAAAAGGAGACGCTGGGCAGCCAGCGGAGAGCCAGCCCCAGCTCTGGCTTCTGGGGCCGGAGCCGACCTGGGAAGTGCAGTCCCTGCTCAAGTTAAAAAGCTTGCCAGAGGCTGCCCCAGGGGAGCTCCTCTTTGGAAGGGGTTAGGCTGCTACTGCCCAGTGTCCTAGCCTTTCCCCTCCCTCTCTCTGCCTGACCAAGGCTTCCAGAAGAGTCAAGAGCAGCTGACTTGTCCGAGGAGACAGCAGCAGAAAAACGCATCCTCTAGGAAAGTAGGACCCGGAGCAGAGCGGGCTTCCCCTTCTTCAGCCCCATGTTCCATGGGCCTCCAGCCTGCTGGATGCTGGCCTCCACATTCAAGGAAGGTTTTTCTTATTTACTTCACTGGTTCACATGTAGATCTTCTGTGGGAACATCCTCACAGACAGACACAGAATACCACCCCTAGGTATTTTTCAATCCAGGACAGAGAGATTGTGTAGAATGAAATTAGCCTCTCGTTTTTGGTGGGGCAGGAAGAACACAGGCAGGTGTTTCTAGACATTCTGAGCTATGCTTCCCAAGAGTGAATGGGCCAAATAGTCAAACCAGGGCTAGTTTGATTCACACCGTTGGCTGAGATCTAGGAGGGGTGAAGGATTTTCTGCTCAGGGCCCTCTGAATGGACATATTAGGAGAGAGAGGAGGGAGGGCTTCTCCATGACTCAGTGCAAAGGAAGCTTCAAGCTGAGGTAGATAATTGTGCGATGCCTTTCAATGGATTTGGGGACATCAGACAAGCCAGTTAATGAAAAACTCCCCCTGCCTCTTGCCTGTCAGACTTGATGTGCCCAGAAGGGGACGACTTAGTCACTTTCCTCATTGCTGTGACAAAATACTTGACAGAAATAACTGAAGAGAAGATTTCTATTGGCTCAAGGCTTCAGACGATCAGTCCATGGAGAGGAAGGCATGCCGGTGAGTCCCACCACAGTAGGAGTGCTTGGCAGCCTCTTCACATAGCTTCCGGAGTGTTCAGGAAGCAGAGGACCCAGGCTGGGACCAGAGGCAATTAAAACCTTTAGTGAGCCTATGTCCCAAAGTTTCTTGAAGGTCCCAAAACAATGCTACCAGCTGGGACCCAAGTGTTCAAAGACATGAGCTAGTATGGGACATTTAATGTTTACACCACAACATAGGCTCTGTTATTAGTGCTATATCATGCGGTACTGTATTAGTCAGGGTTCTCTAGAGTCACAGAACTTATGGAATGAACCTCTCTCTAATATAAATATATAGGTGTATATGCATATACAGATACATATATGGGAATTTATTGGATTGACTTACAGGCTACAGTACAACAATGGCTAGTTATGAATGGAAAGTCCAAGAATCTAGTAGCTGCTCAGTCCCATGAGGCTGAGTGTCTCAGCTGGTCTGCTGGGATATGGAAGAAGGAATGGATGGACAGATGGAGGCGAAGGCAAGCAGGCAAAGAACACCTTTCCTTCTTCTGCACAGGCTTCCAACAGAAAGTGTGGCCCAGATTAAAGGTGTGCCTTCCAGCCTCAAGGTCTGGGGATTAAAGGCATGTGTCATCCAGCCTCAAGATCCGGATCACAAGTATGCCCTCCCATTCTGGACTATAGTTCATTCCAGATACAGTCAAGCTGACAACCAGGAAGAGCCATCACAGATATTAAGAGTCAGTCTGGCCAGTGTTTAGTAAGAGGCCAGGCATTCAGATGGGCCATGCTCGGGAACAGATCACGTGACGCTGCTCCTCCAGAGCTAGAGCAAGGGCTAGGATGCACAGCTAGTCTCTCTGCACATGCGGCACACGCAGGGCCTGCTCTTCCGGCCTCTTCTCGCATCCGGGTTCTTGTGGAGAAAGTGTGTCTTTCTCCCAGCTCTTTCGCTGTATTTCTGCAAACGTCGCGTCTGTCGGCACATCCGCCTCACTCACAGGACACTATTCTCCCACAATGCCTGGCATACTGTAGTGTATCAACAGAAGTTTGTGCACTGAATGGATGAGCTGCAGAAGGAGGCATGCAGGAGACTGACTACAAATGGTTTGGGCGTTTCATCCACTTAACTTCCCCAGCGGGGAAAAGCCAAGGGATGAGTGATGTGTTTGGACGGTCAAAAGGGAGCTGATGAAGACGTGGAGTGGACCACAGGACCCTTGGGGATCATTGGGCTTCTGGCAGCAGATGTTTAGAAATCCTAGCTGGAGCAGGGGGAGAAATCTCACTTCTGTAATGGACTGGGGGAGTCCTACAGCATTCTGAGAGGGCCAGGAAGCCCCCCCACAGCTGCCTTCTTCTGGGGCTGTTTATAAGTCCTTTTGTTTAGCTCTCTGGCAGGAGCCTGGGCGGAAGGCAGCAGCTGTCCCTCTTGAGGGGAACAACTGATGACCTACTTTTGTGAGTTTTGTGAGCCATGGCTCGGACTCGTTAGATCCACATTCCATGCCAGGAACAAACACTAGATTGCCAAAGTTCCGCTGACCCCTCGAGGACCAGTCACTACAGTTTTTAGAAGAGACACCCAGTGCCCTGTTGAGACTATACATCTCCTAGGAATCTCTCTCTCT